AGAGAGAGAGAGAGAGAGAGAGAGAGAGAGAGAGAGAGAGAGAGAGAGAGAAAGAGAGAGAGAGTGGAGGCATAAGGGCGGAATTGTGCGGCAATTTCCTGATAATGCTAAACCCCTTCCCTTATCACAATTAAGAGCACGCGAACAGCGAAACCGTTGATATTGTGAAAGTCTACGCACCACGTATGTCAACAACAGTCGCCATATTGTAATGATGCTGGGGGCTTCCATTGTTCTGCATGTCGCTCCTGACATAATTTCAATGAACATCATCTGTGTGTTTTTTCAATAAAAATGACAAATGATAACACGCATGACAAAGCGTTTATTGTAATACATGGGGGGGGGGCATCTTGAAATCGAAGACAGGCGAGTAGTGAGAGATTGTTTCGTCCTGCGGCCACCGACTGACATTATATAGCATAATAGCAGCATAACAGATATAGACAGTCGCTGTCTAAGGCCGTCTATCACCCACCACACGCATACGCAAGCGCGCACACGAAAACATCCGTAAACACCGTAAACACACACGAGCGCACGCACGCATCTGAATACACGCGCACAAGCACACGTACGCACGCACGCACGAACACACCCACGCACACACGCACACACACACACACACATACACACACACCACACGCACACACGCACGCACACATGCACCAGCGCCATTCGTTCGGAGCTATTTTGATAATTTTCAAGGTGCGCTCGTATTGTTCTCTCTACGCCGCGCTCAAACGCCGCCCGTTCAGCGCAGCCGCGGCGCAGACAACAACGACAGAGTTTGCCTAATCATCAATTAGAACAACGGTGACGCGGGAAGTTACGTGACGCATCGACGAGAGAGGCATTGTTCTCGAACACTGTTAACTGAAATTGTTACGTTCTAGATTATTCGTCTCAGACTCGGACGAGCACGGGCGCAGGAGACAGGCAGCCCATTGTAGTGTTCCATGGTCAGACGAGACAGTCCGCAGTTCCTTGCGACTTGTCGCCGGCTTTGTTTCATTCGCTATGTGCACGCATAAGCCGTCATATATATAGCACAAAGAAGGGTTGGATTCAGTGGATTTTATTCGCTATATGAATTCCTTTGTCGACCGTCCGGTTCCGAACACAGTTCTAGCACTATCTCCTCTATTCTATACCCACTGGCGCATCTATCTATATATATAAAGTTGTTCAGCCGAATTTGTGTGTTCGCGCATAACTAGAGAACTCCGCAGCCTAGAGAAAAACGAAATATATTTTCAGAATCAGCACGTCTGGGAGGTGGTTCTGGCTGAAACAAAATTTTAAAAAAGTTAAAAAGTTAAAAATTTATAACAATTATATTCATCAATAGATAGCGTACAGATTAACATTATACATCATGTACGTGTGAATCCATGGTCTACATCCATAACGGCCCAGTAGCCCAATGGATAAAGCCTCGGACTCCTAAACCATTGATTCTGGGTTCGAATCCCATCTCGGGAAATGCTTTGTTTCTTTACTTTTGGACTGTTTAGTATGTACTTCTGCCGTATTCACCGTTAATTTCAAAATTTAATTTGTTTACCACATTTATACGTTTAGTAAAAATCCAGAATAAACTATGGTAGATGATAATGATAGCGCAAACTGACGGGAACACTTCACGAAAGCCTATGTAGGTTACATATCAAATATTATTATATTTTCTATATAATTTCATTTTATTATTTATAATTTTTGACGTTTTTTTTTAATGACTTATCTTTTGATTTCTTATTATTTTTTACTGTTGGGATGGGATGGGATGGCATGGCATGGCATGCGATGGGATGGGATGGCATGGCATGGGATGGCATGGCATAGGATAGGATGGGATAGGATGGCATGGGATGGGATGGGATGCGGTGCGATGGGATGGGATGGGATGGCATGGAATGCGATGGATGGATGGATGCATGAATGGATGCATTGATAGATAGATAATTCGATTTTTTGCAGTATTCCTTTCAACCAAGCGGTCACCAACTGAGTAACGCCACTGGTTTCCCTGGGCAACGCCGGGTATCCCGCTAGTAATAAATAAACAAAATGAGATACGTATGCGTCATTGATGCTATGCGTACTCGTCATTGATGTTATGCGTATGCGTCATTGATATTATGCGTAGGCGTCATTGATGTTATACGTAAGCGCCAATTCATGTTATGCGTACGCATCATTGATGTTATGCGTAGGCGATATTGATGTTACGTGTACTCGTCATTGATGTTATACGTAGGCGTCATTAATGTTATCCGTACGCGTCATTAATATTATGCGTACGCGTCATTGATGTTATGCGTACGCGTCATTGATGTTATGCGTACGCGTCATTGTTGTTATACGTACGTGTCACTGATGTTATGCGTACGCATCATTGATCTTATGCTTACGCGTCATTAATATAATGCGTACGCGTCATTGATGTTATGCGTACGCGTCATTGATGTTATGCTTACGCGTCATTAATATAATGCGTACGCGTCTTTGATGTTATGCGTACGCGTCATTGATGTTATGCGTACGCGTCATTGTTGTTATACGTACGTGTCACTGATGTTATGCGTACGCGTCATTGATGTTATGCTTACGCGTCATTAATATAATGCGTACGCGCCATTGATGCTATGCGTACGCGTCATTGATGTTATACGTACGTGTCATTAATGTTATACGTTCGCGTCATTGATATTATGCGTAGGCGTCATTAATGTTATGTGTACGCGTCATTGATGTTATGCGCACGCGTTATTGCACACTGTACATAAGACGGGGTCTGAGAAACGCTCGCATATATTAAGCTCTCCCTAGTACATATCTGTCACGGGCAGGTTCGTCACGCTTACATTCGCGCGTACAGTTCAAAGTTAATTAATTATAACATAGGCGATCCGAAATGACATTTGTTTCCCTTAATTATCTTCTAATCACCATAATTAAGGGCATGTCTGGGCAACGCACCGTAGACACAGTAATGTTGACGTCTTGAAAATCACTGACAGATCATTTTTTCTGCATTCCTTTGCGACCAGTAACCCTTTTTTCGTAGAATTCCGTCGAAAAGTTGCGTGAACTGGTTACAATAACCCGCGCTGTTCACGCGCGTACAAACAACACTGACGTCATCCATAATCATCATCATCATCATCATCACCAAGATCACCATCATCGTCATTATCATCATCATCATCAGCGTCATCATCGTCATCATCATCATCATCATCATCGTCATCATCATCATCATCATCATCATCATCATCATCATCATCATCATCATCATTATCATTATCATCATCATCATCATCATCATCATAACCATCCTCATCAACAACATCGTCTTCATCCTCACAACCATAATATAGCTGATCTGCATATTAGTGCTGCATCGGCCCCACAGTCACGCACATATCACGCACACCAGAGTTCGTGATGCCCGCCAGGCTTGCTGACGCATGCATGTACACCTGTGCGATTAAAATCAACGCGGGAATTCCTATATATGGCATCTCTGATCAACGAATCTGATCGCGTGCACTCTATGTTCGCTGGTAATTGATTAGTCAAGACGATAGCGATATTCTTTAACGCTGAGGTCGGCATCTCATTCAGTCTACCTTCGAGTGGCGAATGTAGTTTTATCATTAGGTTACGCTACGTAGGCCTATTTATATCCGGATTACTAGCTATAGTATTACGGCAACCTTCTAAGTGGATTCCCCCGCTTAGATTTAACAGCAAGTGCCTATAGGTTAACCTACCTAATAGGTGAGTGAGAGAGAGAAGGAGAGAGAGAGAGAGGGGGGGAGGGAGAGCCGCGTAGCCTATTTCGTATGCGGCACGGTTTACCGTGTCTAATGGTGTAGTCGGCGGTGAACACCACGGGCTCAAGTCGAACACAACTAGGTGATAAATAACTGACCATGGACTTTTCGAAAATACCGTTACTATTACCGTGTCTGCGCGCCCACAGATAAATAATTACCTTCTTCATTATATGACGCGAGCGAAACTTCCACGCCGACCAATCGCGTGCGAGACACGTGCACCCGACCGACCAATGGCGGAGGAGATGGCGGCAGTATATATCGCGCGTGCAGACGACCTGGTTGGCATGTGTCGCCGGTATAATCCGACCTGGTTTACCCGTTATTAGGTTTCGTATTTATCTACCTGACTTTCAGTAGGGACGGTTAGCCGCGCCTCCATCGGAAGCACCCATCATGGAACTGACGTTGCGGTACGTAGACACACACCTAGTAGCTACCCACTTATCTATAGATACATGGCGCGTGAGAGAGAGAGAGAGGAAAGGAGAAAGAAATAGAGATAGAGAAACAGAGAGAGAGAGAGAGAAAGAGAGAGAGAGAGAGAGAGAGAGAGAGAGAGAGAGAGAGAAAGAGAGAGTGAGGAAGAGTGGGAGAGTGATACAGAGAGAAAAATAGAGAAAAAAAAACGAGAGACTGAGTGAAAGAGAGCGGGAGGAAGAGAGATAAAAAAAAGAGGGAGTAGGCCTATGCAGAAATGCTCTTCTCTCTCTCTCTCTCTCTCTCTCTCTCTCTCTCTCTC